GGCATGACAAAAAAAGAGAACGCTACCTCCAGGATGGATGTCTGGATTTGTAGAATTTGCTCATGCCCTTTGACTTGTCGGACGCAGATCTTGCAGGACAGCTGCGTAGTTGCTGGAGTATAGCGCTCCAGGGAAAAGGCACAGTGCAGTGACTGCTGGTTACTGCACCACACGCGAGAGAACGGGACTTCCTGTGAAAGAAACGTATCCCACAAGAACGGGGAAGCAGGAGAGAGAGAGAGAGAAAAAAAGCAGCTGTGACAAAGAAGCTGTTGCGAAACAGGAAATAAAATTTCATGAGGTCTGTCTGCAACGGCTTGGGTGCTAACGCCCCTGCAAATACAAAGTAGCACAACACTAATTAATGGCAGTTCAGTCATTAACACCAGGTTGTTAAAATTACTCTAAGCTTAAACTTCCTGAAGAGACACAAGTGATGAAGGCGTCTCATCTAAAACAAAACTTCAGCAAAGCGCGCTTCACTTATTCCTCTGCCTAGGCATGCAGATCAGAATCCTCATTCTAATGCGCCTCTCCTTGCAATCACCTTGTATTTGCGTGATCCAAAAAAAGGAACAACTTGCTGTCGAACAGAACGCGACGGCCCATTTTCTAATGTTTTGCTCCATCCAATTTTAAAAGCAGCTACCTGCCTGGTTAGAGTCACGTGCAGTACATCACATCTGTACATCGCTGGTCAGGTTTTACTTCTTAGTTGCATCCTACTATATAATTCTGCGACTACTTCCAGTGAGTCCTCTACTTCGGCCACAGGCAGTTCGTGGGCTGAATACCCTCATCAAATGCTACAGAGACAGCTGCAGTAATCAGTTAATCAGGTATCTGAGATTTCTGGCATTTCTGGTTGCTCGGAGTTGCTAGAAACGTCTGAAAATAGACAGGAGAAGTACAAAGGGGGCAGCTAACGGCCGTTTTACGGTTAGCGTCTAAACAGTGCAGTTTTACTAGTGGTCTCCTCGCTTCACCCCTTCAGAACGGTGCATTACGTTTCCAAGCTAGCAAAAATATATCACTACACTATGATGCTCTGCATTAAAACGCTCTTTCTCCATTTATTTCAAAATACTGGAAAGTACCGTACAATTGGCAACGTGGAGAATAAAGCGAAGGGGGAAAGGGCCGATACAAAGCGTTTGTTCTACTATATCGCAGCATTCATTCGTGTGACTGGAGGACAGCATTAAACACGATCAATGAGCAATTATCCTAAAATGAGAGAACCAGTTTACAACGAAGATTTTTTTTTTTTTTTAACATTTGTACAACAGCTTCCAGAAAAACTAGTTTCCAGATTACTCTATCCCTTTTTCCTGCACTATTTGTAAGTTTTAGCTAAGTATATTTTTAAGAGAAGTGGTCTGAATGGCGTGTGAAGCTGAGCCTTCAAAGAAAACACAGTAATCACTATAATCAAATTTCATCTGGGCATATATTTTAACTTGCATTTTTCCTAGCTTTACAAAAGGTTAGTAAGTGACACACACGCACGCATAGAATACCGTGCTATATACATAGGTAGAGTTACAATTCCTTCTATAGGTAGGTACACCCAAGAGACCTACCAGCTAATCACTCGTCATAATTAGCTGTTTAAATAGAAGTAGATCATGCATTTAACTCTTATAATCAATTTACATATGGAAGTCCAGTGAGACCTTCGGTCTTAACCCCATAGAAAAAACACGTCTTTCTTCACTCTTGCCTTCCTCTAAGCCATTTCTGTGACTTTGTCTTGTGTTAGTGGTTTTTTTGGTTTGGTTTGTTTTTGTTCCCCCCCCCCAATCTAGGGGGTAGCAAACGTTCTACAAAATTACAACCTAGGTCACTGAAGAAAATTAGCTGCACAGTGGCGATCTGAGGACACAGGCTTTGAAATCTTTGAAGAGCAGCCTCTCTCTCTCAAACCCTCTAGGCCTCTCTAGCCGCTCTAGTCTATGCCGTAAAAAGCAGCCAAGACTAGACCAAGGAGAATTGTGGGGGTTTTTTTGTTTTTTTTTTTTTTTTTTAAACTCATGACCGAAATCTAGTTCACTTTGCATCTTCTCCAGTGTGTCTCATACAATCCATAACGATGCAGTAAGTAATAATTCTAAGCGCTGTGTTTAAATCCTCGGTCGGTAGAGTACAAGATACCAACGGTGATAAAGAAAACACAGGAAAGTATTCGAAGGAGAGAAACTGTAATTAGATTTTTCCAGAGTAATCATCTTTGCTTTCATTCACGGTGGAAGAATCATTCAGCTGAAAAGAATTACATGAAATAATGCAGTATAGGGGGACAAAGTGTGGTGGACAACGACCGTTTAAAGGATCCCAGAAACGCTTTCCGTTTGATTCTCCCATTATAATTAAGTACCTAGCAGTCAGAGAGAACGTAAATCATTTTGTAGCTATAAACAGACTGAGAGGGAAATACAAAGCCAGCAGACGCTGGGCTGCAGTTCCTATTAAAATAATTATTACAGTTCTCAGTCAACTCATTCCAATTATACTCAACAGTGAAAGGCAAACATGTATTGGGTTTCAGGATCAGCATCCTGTCGGAGCATTCTGTCAGCAGAGGTTATCTGCCCTCTATGATCAAAATCTTCAGCAGGTTGCCATTCCGTGCTTTTCTTAAAGCAGACACAGCACTTCCCGTTACTTAAGCAGTCTTCTATGGGCGATGATGGCTCCCTCAGCTGACTCCCTGTTTTTTATCTTGTGGCAATAAGTTTAATAGCTACTTTGGACTGTGCCATTTGCACTAGATTCAGCCAAGGGAGGTCCTTTACCACATGTAAAGATTAATAGAGAAATTTGCATGGCTATCAGGACTTGTTTTCTACAGCACCCTGCAGTTCAATTGCAGCTGGAAACTCTATAGACTATTACTTGCCAACAGAGAACAAAAATATCTGAATTTAATATGCCATAAACAATATATTTATTCACAGAAGCTGTACATAAGCATCAGGAGAAGTGCTGAAGTGCACACAAACTATTTTGGGGCCTCTGAGGCACGCTCAGCACTTTGCATGCACCAGGGACTCGCATCCAGCAGCAAAGGAGATAAGGCCCCAAAGAAATAACAACTTGGCAGAAATAAGCAGGCAGAAATAACCCTCCCCAAATTCTTACCGACAAAGAAACAAGGAGGCTAGCATAGCAGAAACTCTTGCTTAGGTTATCGGTAAGACGGTGTGCAGGCAGCACAGCAAGTATTGTTTTCTGCAGGCAGTTTTTCTAATTTCACACTCTCTTTCAGGTTCTGAGGTTCTGTTCCTTCTTCCATAATTGCAACCTTCTTTTTGCCATAGTTTTTGCAAACAGCACAAACTACAGGCATTGCCTACTGTGGATCCAGTATAAGGGGGTGAAAGCGTTCACCTCTCTTAACAGCTACATCTTCTTTTACTATCGTTGTTTTAAAGAGTTTCTTTGCTGCAAGAAAAAGCCTAAGGAACCTTTCAGCAAAGTAACGCGTTGCTTGCGAAGCAGTCACCGTATGGTGAAGCAGATTCAATTAAACTTTTGAGATTTTTTTTCTCCTGCATATTGGCCATTTAATTAATAAACATTGCTGATAATGGGCCAGCGGAAGGTGTTCCGTCTGCCTTTTGAAGACCTCAGAAAAGATCTACACAAGATACTGCTACATGCAGTCACTTCAAATCTACTGAAAGTTTATTAGAAAGCAGTTATCAGAAAAGAACATCTTTCCAATGGTGCTTTGAGGTTGAATTTGAGTTTTATCATACAGTTTTATCCTCCAGGATTGGACAGTCAAAGAGATAATTAATTAGCTTTTTTTTTTTTTTTTTTTTTTTTTTTTTTTTTCGGGTAAGGGAAACCCAAATTTTTATTTGCTACGGTATTGAGAGAAAACTTGCCTGATTTTTATTACTGCTTAGGAATCTGCCGGTTTTAACTTTTTTTATGATTCAGGGTAAGGCAACACCTAATTTGCTACGGTATTGAGAGAAAACTTGCCTGATTTTTATTACTGCTTAGGAATCTGCCGGTTTTAACTGTGTTTAATGGAGTCGTGGTGCAGCATCCTAACACTGAGTGGTTTGTCTTTCAAGCTGTGAAAAAATACGCGAGCAGGCTAAAAACACAACACTTAAAAGCAAGCTGGCTCTTGGTATGAGGCTGAGAATGATGCTGTTTGCTTCTTTCATTCCTTACACTGTGGCATAAATTAATTACCTCATAGTCTCATGCTTAGTTTACAGTTTATAACTTTCGAGACCCATTATACTAATATTTTGGAAAATACAGCTACACATTTAAAACTGCTTTTTTGCCATATTCCATGACACAACCGTCTTCGCTAGCAACACGCCGCTGAGAAAAGGGAGATTATAGCCTAATTAAGTCTGTATTTCAAAAAAAAAAACAGCCCTCTTTATCTGCCAGCACACTGCTTACAATTTCCAGTAACCAATGCGCTTAGAAGCCTTCCTTTTTTCTGATTTAGACTTTCCTATCTTCAAAAGCCCCTTTAATTAACGCACGACAGGAAAAATGATTTCTTCATCAGTTCTAATTCTAAGTATACACAGGCCGTAATTTGAACTCGTGACGTTTAAATGCTTACATGCATGCTCTCACATTTTCAGCTCTGTACTCACAGTTGTATCAAAATCAGAACGACGACGGGATCAAAAACACCTCAGTAAGAGTGATAAATTTTAACAAGCATATAGGCCCCCTGTTAGAGGTAATCAAAATGAGGAAGAATGCATGCTTGCTTTTTCCCAAGATGAAAAATTAAAGCGTTCCGCTATGTGATGAACTGTTTGGATCACATCCGTCTGGATGTGATCCTGGGCAGTATGCTCTAGGTGACCCTGCTTGAGCAGGGAGGTTGGACTAGATGATCTCCAGAGGTCCCTTCCAACCTAAACGATTCTGTGATTCTGTGATTCTTTCATTCTGTAGCCGTCAAAATCAAGAGAGAATGCATTTTTGTTGCCTACTTAGAGATTAAAACCACACCTTCCAAAAATAAAAAGGACTCGCCTTACTTGTCTGCCCTTTCACTAGGATAAGCTCAAGCAAGCTTATCCTAGTGAAAATTCTCACTCCTCCTGAATTAAAATGTAAACAAATAAAATCGCCAAGTACCTGACAGGCAGTAAACGGTTTAATTCTCCAGAGGAAAGGGGGAATATCAAGGACAGAGATCTGAAGACTGAAGGTATTCCCTTGGAAATGCAGAAGTTTTGGTTCCTCCAGTAGTTGTCCTCCTTGGAGCCTTTCATCCTGCACCACCTCCTGCAATGGCAGATGAGAAAAGCAGTTTTTAATTATTAGGGGAAAACCACCAAATTTAACGAAAGTTCAGGTTTATGAGAGGTACCAGGTTATTCCCCAGCAGAACAGGAGGCAGCAGTAGAACGGTTCTCAGGTGGGGCGGGTGACGGGCGCTGGCATTCGTATTTCACCACTGGAGTTAAAGAGCACGGTACAAGGCTCTGTCAGCTCTGTTTCCCTGCTCTGCTAACGGTGCCCAGGACACGTTTGGTTTTGGTCACCTCAGTGTCACTACCCAAAGCATTTCAGAGCAGGCATGCGGTGCTTCAAAAGGAAACTCGTAAGGGCTTTGCAACTCAAGAGTAGCTGTCTTCACATTTGCATTTCCAAGTCAAAGCCAGCCAGTTTTCTTTGAACTGGAAATTCCTCCTGTTTGATTGTCACTATTTTATTGCATCTCACAGGATCGCTATTAAAAAAGGTGACGTTCCCCAGCAGTTCTCTATGCAGAGCCAGCGTGGCGAGGCCAGCAAGACTGTGTCAGACCATTTCCAGCTAAAGCTATTTCTTTCCAAAGAGCAAAGTAAAAACGGCGGCTGGGCTGTGACAGCACTGCGCATTAGTCCCTTATCTGTCCAAGACCACTACTACTATTCTTGGTATGTTAATTTGGCTTTCGAATAACTCCTACAAGCTGTTTCCGCTAGTCATGATACGCTTGACATACAAAAAGCACAGTAAGACACTTAGTTAACAGTCTGAAAGGAAGACAAACAACATACGACGTACCGGGTGAATAGTCCGCTTAGTTCTCCGGATTAAACAGACAGCAGTTTTGGTGAGAAGGTACACGCAGAACTCCAGAGAGCACCGCTCACTAAGTGTACACGTTAGCTGAAAAGCTTTCATTTCTCCACCCTTGGAGATCTTCGGAATTACTGGACAAGACGGTGAGCAATCTCGCAAGGGCTAACTTGGAAGCCAGGCCTGCTCTGAGCAGGACTTTGGACTGCAGATCAGTTGCAACATACATTTTTATGTGAGGCTAAGATGTAATAGTTTAAAAAAAAAAAAAAAATCTCACCCCTGCGAGTACTTAAGCAATGTTTCCCAGTTACAGTACAGAGATGAGCAAAGACGACAAGCTTGCCAGGAGTATTTTAAAACAGCTAGCAGAAGTCTTCCAAAATTTTGTCCGCATAAATTACATAAAATCGGTGCATATCAGAGGGGTTCCGTGCTCATCAGTAGCCCAAAATTATGGCTAGAAGAGCTACTGGAACTGTTACGATTTTCTGAAAATGTAACGAATGCTCGAGCTTTCTAAAACCGTATCACGGACGTGTACTATAAAGCTATTTATAGGTGTTCGGTCTGTTTCAAGTCCTGACAGTTCAGTTTATATGAAAGAGGAGAGCGGGTCTGTCTTAAAAAAAAAAAAAAAAAAAGAATACGAATCAACACTTCAGCTTTTGAATTTCAACTGCAAAGGAAGTTATCTGGATTTCGTAATTATTTTTACAATTCCCTGGAGGCACTGGATATTTTTATAAGTGTGTTGTAGCCGTATAAAATACTGCTCTACCTTTAATCATGCATATAGAGTCCTTAGTTCCGCGAGCATCAAAAGGATTCTGGCAAAACACAAAGTTCAAAGGCCTTGGCGGTTACCTAGTTCTCTTATCTGTTGAGAGCCATGAGTTCCCCCCCCCCCCC